CGCCTCTCCCCAGCTCTCCAAAGCAAGCACATCTCTCCTTCCACTGGCTCAGCCACATCCTCCTAAACGTGTTCACAGCCTGTCCCTGGTTAGACAGCTCCATGACAGCAATGAGACCTGTCACCCTCATGAAATTCCATTGTCTTACAGCAGAACACAGTTCTAACTCAAAGTAGACAGTAGCTGAAGTATTGTTGAATGAGTAAATTAAAGACTGTCCAGTTGCAGTCAAATCATGTTGCTTATACAGTGCACAGTGCTGACCTGAGACCAGACGAGCCCCTTCTCTGGGCCAAAAGAGTGGTTGGATATTTGTTTATTAAGTCTGTGGGGATTTCCTTTATTTCTCCGAGGGTCTCCTGAGAGAGATCTTCCCACTCTACTTTTTGTTTTCAACTGTGACAGACTCAGACACAGAGAAACACTTATCCCATACCACAAACAGCAGTGCACATGTGATGATATTGGCTCCCTGCCTCAGCATCTGAGAAGTGGCAGGGGCACTGTGGGGCTCGGCCAGAGCACAGCTAGCTCCATCTACCTATTGCCATATCACTGACCTGGGCTTGCCAGAGGTACTGACTTTTTAAGGGAAGTTGAAAACATAGACTTTTATGTAAAATCTCAATTAAAAAAAATACTAGGTCAAACTTATTCTTCACCTGTAATCCTAGCACTCTGGGAGGCTGTGGCAGGAAGATTCTGTGAGCTCAGGAGTTGGAAACCAGCCTGAACCAAGAGTGATCTCTACTAAAAACAGAAAAATTAGCTGAGCACTGTGATGGGCAACGGTAGCCCCAGCTACTCAGGAGGCTGTGGCAGAAAAATTTCTTGAGCCTAGGAGTTTGAGGTTGCTGTTAGCTAGACTAAGACCATGGCACTTTAACCCACGCAACAACGCGAGACTGTCTCAAAAAAGAAAAAAAATTATTTTTAACAGGCCAAGTCTGATCCACAAGCCTCCAGTTTTTAATCTGTTTTAAAGAGATTTGCACATGCAATGAATCAAAGACAATGTCTCTCACTCTTTTTTTTTTTTTTTTTTTTTTTTGAGACAGAGCCTCAAGCTGTCCCCCTGGGTAGAGTGCCATGGCATTACAGCTCACAGCAACCTCCAACTCCTGGGCTCAAGCGAGTCTCATGCCTCCGCCTCCCACGTAGCTGGGACCACAGGCGCCCGCCACAACGCCCGGCTATTTTTTGGTTGCAGCCGTTGTTGTTTTGGCGGGTCCGGGCTGGGGATTTGAACCCGCCACCTTAGGTGTACGTGGCTGGCGCCTTAGCCGGTTGAGCTATAGGCGCCGAGCCCTCTCACTCTTTAATCCAGAACAAACCCCAGGTAAAAATAAACAATGAAATCAGACACTAGAACTTCACCAATATAGTATGGAGTAAGAAGAACTATATGGAGCTCTGTGATCAAACCATACACAAGTCTAGCTCAGGCACCCGTAGCTCAGTGGTCAGGGTGCCAGCCACATACACCGGAGCCGGTGGGTTCAAACCCAGCCCAGACCTGCTAAACAAAAACAACAACAAAAATTGCTGGGCGTTATGGTGGGCACCTATAATCCCAGCTATTTGAGAAGCTAAGGCAAGAGAATCGCTTAAGCCAAGAGGTTGAGGTTGCTGTGAGCAGTGATGCCACAGCACTCTACCACGGGTAACACAGTGAGAATATGTCTCAAAACACACACACACACACACACACACACACACACACACACACAAAACAAAAAACTATACACATGTCCCTTTGGGGATTCACTACTGGTACCCAAAAAACTTGACTTCAGATTACCAGTTCTAAATTCTACAGTTTAACCTTCAGAGCAATCTTATTTTCCTCTCATTTCCAATTGTGGCTCCTTCCTATCTTCTACTGAAAACTGTTCAAATCAGATGGGAAGCAGCATTACCTGTACCTTTCTTCTTCTAACACTCACTTCATCACTGCCTCTGCTCCTGGGCCCAGAGACAGAAGAAATCGGGCGCGTTCAGGGTGGTATGGCCGTAGACCTGGGCCCAGAGACAAAGCAAGCAACTGCTTTCCTCCCTACCTGGTCTCACCTCCTGTTCAGGATACCCTGCTATTTCAGTATAAAATCCTCAAAATAAAATTACAAGCTTGATTATGGAAGTAAATCTAAAGCCCAAGATGTGAACTTTGGTAACAGTTTCTAGAACAAACAGGGGAAAATAAGTCAGGCAAGAGCAAGAATTTAAATGTGGATGGACAGCATTAACTCATTCAGAGAAACAAAGGGAAAGCATATTTGTTTCAAACCCACAATAGGGTTTGGGTTGCAATTCATCAATCTCCACCTGACAAAGATCTCCCACTAGCCCAGCACGTGGGAACCCCCAGCGCTCACCAGTTCTTCCCTCAGCTTTCCCAGTGTCTCCATCTGGTTACTCCGCGTGCTCAGCATGGCTGAGAGCTTCTCCATGAGGATGTCATATTTGCTTCTCCTGCAAGGAAAACCCAACAGTTTGTTTTTTCAAATGTATAGCTAGAGATAATATTTACTGCCTGTTTTTTTTTTTTTTCCCTTTGAGACAGAGTCTTACTATGTCGCTCTGGGTAGAGTGCCATGGTGTCACAGCTCATGGTTACCTCAAACTCTTGGGGTTAAGTGATTCTCTTACATCAGCCTCCCAAGTAGCTGGGACTACAGGCACCCGCCACAACGCCCACTATTTTTTGGTTGTAGTTGTCATTGTTATTTGGCAGGCCCCAGCTGGATTTGAACCTGCCAGCTCTAGTGTATGTGGCTGGCACCTTAGCTGCTTGAGCTATAGATGCCGAGCCTACTGCCTGTTTTTTAAAGATGCAAAGGGATGACTTAAATGACCACATGGGTCTCAGAGACCACCCAGCCCAGATTCCACATTTTATAGCTGGAGAGATGTGCCTATGAGCATTTGGTTACGTGTCCCAGGTCACCTAACTGGTACCCGTGTATGAACTAGAGTCTATGATCAAAATTTGAATGAAATGACATAGTCTCACTCTGTTACACTGGGAAGTGTACCATGGCATCATAGCTCACAGTAACCTCAAATTCTTGGGTTCAAGTGATTCTCTTGCCTCACCCACCTGAGTAACTAGGACTGTAGGTGCCCACCACAATGCCTGGCTATTTTTTAGACATGGGGTCTCACTCTGGCTCAGGCTGGTCTCGAATGCCTAAGCTTAGGCAATCCATCCACCTCAGCCTCCAAGAGTGCTAGGATTATATGCATTAACTTCTACACCTAGCCTGGAAATGATTCCTTAAAACATCTTACATGGGTAGGCGCCTGTAGCTCAATGGTTAGAGTACCAGCCCCATGTACTGGGACTGGCGGTGCAAACCTAGCAGGGACCTGCGAAACAAAAAAAAAGGGGGGGTGGGTGGGCGGGTGCAGTTGCTACCGCCTATAATTTCAGCACTTGAGAGACCAAGGCAGAGACCTTGTCTCTAAAAACAGCTGGGTGTTGTAGCAGGCCCCTGTCGTCCCAGCTACTTGGGAGGTTGAAGCAAGAGAATCACTTGAGCCCAGGAGTTTGAGGTTGTTGTGAGCTATGACGCTACAGCACTCTACAGAGGGTGACAAAGTTAAGACTCTGTCTCAAAAAAAATAAAACACCTTACATCTTTATAATACTTCTAAAGTTTAGGAAGCATTTTAAACATTTCTTTATAAATCACTTGGTGAAAGACAGGATTATTTCATAACGAAGTTAATAGGCTTTCCCAAAATTCAAGCCTAAGACAGAAACCTAAGCCTTTTTCTTATAAATCTGGTACTCTCTTCCCTATATCATGGCCCCTCTGTGATCTGAAGCCCTGGTTTCTGCCTCTGACTTTACTGGTGTGACTGATCCCACCCTCCATCTCATTTCTACTGCTAAGTGGATGTCATGCCAAAGGCTTCCAAGCTAACGGCCAATAATGGAAGCGAGTAAAGTGTCAAGGGCTCTTAACTATGTGTGCCCAGGGTAAATTAGGAAGGGTAAAGAGAAGAGCCTTTTTGCTGGTTCAGCTGGATAAGGATGGCATGGTTTGACTCATAGTCCTAGAGAAAGGGAAAGCCCACATCCGGGATCCAGAGACCGTGTCCACTTCTCCACTTGTATTGCCTCTCAACAAGTGAAAGAATAAATGAAGGGACAGATATTTACTGCACAGGATTTTATTTTATTTTATTTTATGACAGAGTCTGAAGCTGTAGCCCTGGGAAGAGTGCCATGGCGTCACAGCTCACAGCAACCTCAAACTCATGGACTTAAATGATTCTCTTGCCTCACCCTCCCAAGTACCTGGGACTACAAGCGCCCACAGCAACACCCAGCTATTTTTGTTGTTGTTGTTGCAGTTATCATTGTTGTTTAGTAGGGCAGGGCTGGGTTGGAACCCCCCAGCCTCGGGAACCCGCCAGCCGGCACCCTACCCTCTGAGCCATGGGCACCGCCTGGAACTATATACATTTTAAACACTGTTGTCATGGCCTTTTTACACAAGAGGAAAATAGTGATTTAAAGAGGTCAAGTGAGAGGTACTGATTCAAATAGAGAACTTGACGGAAGCCGAGTTCTCTCCTGCCCCATGGCTGCTACCCTGTGTTCTCTGTACTCCACAGGCTGCACTCAAGGTATGAGTTTGGCAAGACAGCTATTTAACTAATGGATAGTATAGATAATTAAAATGTGAATTATCACAACATGATTCCCTTCAGTGTAGTACAGTTGACTCTTTGACAGCATGGGTTTGATCTGGGCAGGTCCATTTACACCTTTTTTTCCCTTTTTCAATAAATATATTGAAAATTATTTTGGATATTTGTCACAATTTGAAATATTTTTCACAGACAAACCATATAACCTGGAAATACTGAAAAAATTAAGAAAAAGGTAAGTCACGAATGCATGAAATATAAAGTAGATCCTACCCCATTTTAACATTTACTACCATCGAATACACATAAATCTATCAAAAAAGTTAAAATTTTATTTGTCCTGTTTGCAGTATCATACATGATCATCAAACTGCTGCTAGAATGCTCACACCTGTTACTGCAAATTTCAGAACCCAGGTGAGACTTCTCCTGGGAATTTACTTTAGGTCAGGATCAGGCTGCCTGGTACCAGGCTGTACCCACAACTGGCAGGTTCCACAACACAGGAGCCTTTCCCCAGACCATAAAATTTATTAAAACTTATATGCACAAATACTTACAGATCATACATGGTGCCATTTGTAGTTGAAAGAAATGTAAACAAATGTAAATATGCAGTAATAAGCCATAAGTGCATACAATTAATGGTAATACAACCTGTACTACTATAATAATTCAGTAACCACCTCCTGCCTGCTCCTATTGTGGCAAGTTCAAGCGCTGAGATTATTGGTTGAAAATGCTGTGTGACTCTAATCATCTCTTTGTGAGCAGTTTGTCTCTCCAGTAAATTGTTATCACAGAAAAAGTGATCTCTCAGAACTCCAATGTATTTTTCATTGTGTTTAGTGCAATACCATAAATCCTGAATGTCACCATGGGCCTCGTACAAAATGCCACTAGTGATACTAGAAGTACTCCCTAGAAGGAGAAAAAAAGGTACGACATTATATGAAAAAGTTAAACTGCTTGATATGTACCATAGATTGAGGTCTGCAGACACAGGTACCCACCACTTTATACGGACAATTCATCTTGTAAACACAGATCACACAAACGTACAGTATTGATTAACACAGTGCAGTACTATAAATGTCTTTTTCTTCCTTATGATTTTTTTTTTGAGACAGAGTCTCACCATGTTGCCCTTGGTAAAGTGCCATGGCGTCATAGGTCACAGCAACCTCAAACTCTTGGGCTTAAGTGATTCTCTCGCCACAGCCTCCTAAGTAGCTAGGACTACAGGTGCCCACCACAACGCCTGGCTATTTTCTTGCTGCAGTTGTCATTGTTGTTCAGCTGGCTCTGCCTGGGGTTGAACCTGCCAGCCTCAGTGCATGTGGCTGGCGCCGTAACCACTGTGCTATGGGCACCAAGCCTCTTTCTTATGATTTTAGTAACATTTTCTTTTCTCTAGTTCATTTGTTATAATAATACAGTATATAATACATATAACACATACAACAAAATACATCTTAATCAATGTTAAGTTTTGGTCAAAAGTTATATGTTCATTTTTAGTCCTACCCCCCCCAGTATTATTCAAAGGTCAAATGTATTTCCAAAATGTAAGTGAGAAGATAAACTAGGAGTTCAGAACATTACGACATATTGACTGTGTACCAGTTTGAAGGCTACTAGTCAGCCGTGCAGAGATGATTTTCATCCCTTGAGATCTATAGTCAAGAGACAGTTCATATATGTGTGTCAAATATTTTTGGGGGTCAAGCCATGTGGAATGTAGTGGGCAATACTGACTTTAAAACTTATTCTTGGGCAGTGCCTGTGACTCAGTGGATAGGGTGCCGGCGCATACACCAAGGATGGTGGGTTCAAACCCGGCCCTGGCCAAACTGCAACAAAAAATAGCCAGGTGGTGTGGTGGGCACCTGTAGTCCCAGCTACTTGGGAGGCTGAGGCAAGAGAATTGCCTAGGCCCAGGAGTTGGAGGTTGCTGTGAGCTGTGATGCCATAGCATTCTACTGAGGTTGATAAAGTGAGACTCTGTCTCTACAAAAAAAAAAAAAAAACTTATTCTGAGGCTTGGTGCCTGTGGTTCAGTGGCTAGGGCGCCAGCCATATACACTGGAGCTGACAGGTTCAAATCCAGCCTGGTACTGCCAAACGACAACTACAACCAAAAAAAAAAAAAAAATAGCTGGGGGTTGAGGCAGGCGCCTGTAGTCCAGCTACTTGGGAGGCTGAGGCAAGAGAATCACTTAAGCCCAAGAGTTTGAGGTTGCTGTGAGCTGTGATGCCATGGTACTCTACTAAGGGCAACATGGTGAGACTCTGTCTCAAAAAATAAATAAAATAAAACTTATTCTGAGTGTTCACTCCCTCCCCTTTGCAGAGCACCTGGCCACGGGAATAAAGAGCAAGGACTCTGTCAAATGGCCAGGGAGAATCACAAAATCATTCCCCAAGGTCCAGGGAAGGATTTGCTTATTCTTCTCCCTGTTATCCCTCAGCACTGCCTACCTCTACCACGAGTGCTGATGGCCAGGCACTGCGAGGCCCAGAGTTGCTTTTCCTAGGCTCTCCACCAGCTTGACCTTTCCCCACCCTGGCTTCTGCCCCTTCCACAAAGGAGGACATGGGGTTGTAGAGTATAGACTAAGACCTCTGTAGAGTAGTAGAACACTTCTTTCCTCCATTCCTTAACTAGTCACCCCAATAGCAAGGATTAAAGAATCAGACAGGCTGGGTACAGTGGCTCATGCCTGTAATCCTAGCACTCAGGGAGGACAAGGCGGGTGAATTGCTTGAGCTCACAAGTTCGAGACCAGTCTGAGCAAAAGCGAGACCCCATCTCTAGTAAAAACAGAAAACTGAGGCAAGAAGGTCACTTGAGCCCAAGTTTGAGGTTGCGATGAGCTATTACGCCACAGCACTCTGCCCAGGGTGACAGCTTGAGACTATCTCAAAATAAATAAATAAAGAAAGAAAGAATCGGACATAACCTATTCATTCTCAGAGACTCCCTAGTTCTCAGAGGGAATGTGTACATAGTAATCATTTATTGCATTGTCTGGACTATGATACCCAGCTAGAATAGCAATATTACACATTGCATTCTTTCAATAGCACCTCATCACCTCATTTCAAGTTTGACTTATTTCCTTTAGTTTTTACACCTCTCCAAAATGTCACCAAAATGTTAACAGTTTCTATTTTTTTGTTGTTGTTTGTTTGTTTTTGAGACATAGTCTCACTTTGTTGCCCTTGGTAGAGTACTGTGGTGTCATAGCTCACAGCAACCTCAAACTCTTGGGCTCAAGCAATTCTCTGCCTTAGCCTCCCAAGTAGCTAGGACTATATTTTTAGAGATGAGGTCTCACTCTAAGCTCAGGCTGGTCTCCAATCTGTGAGTTCAGGCGACCCACCCACTTTGGCCTCCCAGAGTGCTAGGATTATAGGCATGAGCCACTGTGCCCGGTCAACAGTTTGTATTTTTGAGCTGCAAGGTTATAGATATTTTTTTCTTTCTTTCATGCATCATGTCCAGATTTTCCAAATGAGCAAGACTTATTTTCATCCACAAGAGACAGTAAATATATCTGTATAAAATTATAGTCATATTCTGATTTGCTTTAATTTTTAAAAGTATATAATATGGCTGCAACATAAAAGTAATCAGATGCTTTGAATTCTATAAACAGTACCTGTCCACATGAAACCGGTTCAGGAGGAGGAGTATTGAATGTTGTTGGGCTCCAGTGGGTAATCGGATGACATGAGACTGCATCGTAATGAGCCCATTTTTGTTCAAAATTTTCCTGTGATAGTGGAGCTTCCCAGCATCAACCCTAGAGAAGGAAAGGCGCATGGGCTATGTCATTTACTTTGTCAATAGCTTTAAGCCCACAATGTATAAAGGCTCTCATTTGGACATGCATACCAGAAACATACCCCCATCCAATCAACCTAAAAGAAGAGTCATTGTGAGACAATGGCCTTGGAAAGAAAAGCCATGCCTCTCGAAGACAAAGCAGCAGGCCTCTATATTTAGAATGTAAGGTGCAATGACCAGTGAGCCCCATAACTTAAAGCACAGAAGCAAATCCTCCCCTTACTTGAAAGCAGTGCTGTGAAGGTCTCGCTGGAGTTCTCCTTGCCACCTGGACCGGCCTAATCGCTCCAGGATGCAGTACGAGAAGTCGGGGAGCTTCAGGTCAGGATCCCCCTCCTGGCCTATCAAGGCCCTGTACCGTATGGCCTGAGAGGCAACAATGATCAGTTTCTTCCCCCACCTACAAATCAGAAACAACCACATAAAGAAATAAGCTTACCCAATTTTAAGAAAACTAAAATATGAAAAAGCAGAACTTTTTGGAACCTCATTTTCTGCTTTTTCTCAGAAGTTCACAATACCCCTGAATTAAGCTAAACAAGTTTTCAGACCCTTATAACTAACTATACGGTGTGCTGAAGAAAAGAGACAATCTTATTTCCTTCCTGAAAGCCCTTCTAGGGCATGCCAAGGTACTCCCTCCCGGCCCCTCCCTTTTTTGAGACAGAGTCTCACTTTCTCTTCCTTGGTAGAGTGCCATGGCATCATAGCTCACAACAACCCTCAAACTCTTAGGCTCAAGCATTTCTCTTGCCTTAGTCTCCCAATCCTCTCTCCCAGAGTGCTAGGATTACAGGCATAAGCCACTGTGCCCACCCTCAAAGCACTCATTTAAAAACTAAACTCCTGAGCAGCGCCTGTGGCTCAGTGGGGTAGGGCGCAAGCCCCATATACCAAGGGTGGTGGGTTCGAACCCGGCCCCCCGCTAAACTGCAACAAAAAAAAATAGCCGGACATTTGTGGCAGGCACCTGTAATCCAAGCAACTCGGGAGGCTGAGGTAAGAGAATCGCCTAAGCCCAGGAGTTGGAGGTTGCTGTGAGCTGTGACGTCACAGCACTTTACTGAGGGTGATAAAGTGAGACTCTGTCTTTAAAAAAAAATAAAATAAAATCTAAACTCCTGGCTTAAGCACCCATAGCACTGGCCATAAGCACTGAGGCTGGCAGGTTCAAATCCAGCCTGGGTCTGCTAAACGACAACTACAACCAAAAAACAGCCAGGCATTGTGGCAGGCGCCTGTAGTCCTAGCTACTTGGGAGGCTGAGGCAAGAGAATTGCTTAAGCCTAAGAGTAAGAGGTTGCTATGAGCTGTGATGCCACAGCAACATAGTGAGACTCTGTCTCAAAAAAAAAAAAAAAAAAAAATCTAAACTCCTTGGGCCCAGCACGGTGGCTCATGCCTGTAATCCCAGCACTTGGGAGGCCGAGGCAGGTGGATTGCCTGAGCTCACAGATTCAAGACCAGCCTGAGCCAGAGTGAGACCTTGTCTCTCAAAACAGCTGGGTATTGTGGTGGGTGCCTATAGTCCCAGCTACTTGGGAGGCTGAGGCAAGAGAATTGCTTAAGCCTAGGAATTTGATGTTGCTGTGAGCTATGCTACCACGTACTTTACCAACGATGACAAAATGAGACTCTGTCTCAAAAAAAATAAATAAATAAAATCCAAACT